ATATATACTGTACACACACACACACACATATATATATATATATATATATATACTGGAGACCCACCTGAGTGTAGTGTGTGCAGACAGAGCCACTGCATCTATTGGGGTAGGAAAAATTGTGTCTTTCATCATACCAGGACCTTACCAGGTCAATGATTGATCTGTAGCTGCAAAATTAAATTAATATTTAGAAAATCAGTCAGAATATGTAGACAGTGTAGATATGATCCAGAACTGACATGGTTTTCAGATATTAATTCATGCTGATACCATGACTGCTCCCATATATAGTACGTTGTTGTAAGGGTCTGTACCTTCCAGAGATGATGGACAGGTTCTGTCCAATGTGTCGCAAATCATGAGACGGTCCATGATCCCATATGCACTGAGCGGCCCAGAACTCTGCAGATTTAGCCAGTCTCTCATCCTACACCTCACAAAGGAGAGTGAGGATAGGTAAACAAATGCTAAAAAAAAAAAATAGTTCACCCAAAAAAGACCCATGCAATGACAATAGGAAATGAAGATGTCAAGCAACAAAAACAAAGAAAAATCATCATAAATTTTGTCCACACGAACTAGATTTTACTGTAAGACTTGTGGAGCCATACAACATGGATTTTGTGAGGAACAGAAATTTAACATGTCAAAGCTTTACTTAAGCCCTTGCGATCTGAGTCGTGAGCAACGATTCTTTTGAATCAGATATTTAAACGAAATAGTTGATTCAATTCATAAAACTGATCTGAACGATTCGTTCACAAATCAGACTCGAGTTCAACTAAAGGATTCGCTTGCCCTTAAGTTCACTTGAGGTGAAGATTTTTAAATATAGGCCTATAATATAAATTTGATATCACGCAATGTAAGAAGAAGCTGTTTTTAAAGTCATACAGGCCACTTTTATGATACTCAAACTTTTATGGTGAATTTCAGTCTTTGTTGGAGCTAGACGTTTTCAGTCACCTTGCATTGTCATTGCATGGAAAAGAGCGACCAGATTGTTCTGAAATGTTACATTTAGAAAAAAATATATATTTTTCATGTTATATATTTGACAACCTTAAAACATTAGTAATGTAAAAAAAATTGTAGGCTAAAGCTAATAAAAAATGTCCTACCATATATTCCATGTTTGCTGCGGGTGGGGAGACCTGTGAACGCACGCAGTTGTGATAGTCCAAAATTGCCGTTATATCTTTCCTAGAGATGAAGCGTTTCCGCCGCGCTGCTGTTCCTCAGTACGGCCTCCAGGGAAACCTCACTCATCAGATGAAGCACTTCTGCCGCGCTGCTCGCCGTCTCTGCTGCTATCGTACACGGCAGTGTCCACAAGGTGGCAGCAAAGAGCAACTGAGCGCAGGCCAAATTCATCTTTCTGCCTTCTGTCTGGTTGGCTACAGGTGCTTTATTTGTGGAAAGAGAATTCAGAGTCAACAATCTCTCACTGTATTAGCCAGTAAAATAAGCTCAGGAACGGTACAGTCCCTACTCAAGTGCAAGTACAGTTTAATCCTGCAATTTCTGTAGACCATTTTAGACCATAGTAACAGAATAAACATGTCAACATATTAATATAATAAGCCAATAACTTGCTGTGTTACCCACACTTCTATGGTTACCCAAAAAACATACTTTATGGAATAACATAAGGTAAAATGGTGAAAATGGTGATAAAATGTACAATTAAATTTTTTGTGTGAACTGTCTCTTTAAATAAAAAAAAAATTTTTTGGAAAAATTATAGAAATAGTCACATCAGTCAGACATGTTATTATATTTTTTATGTTTTATGTAAATATGTGTTTAATTTAGTTATATTGTATACATTTATATATAATTATAAGTTATAGCTACCTATAATTATATTCTAACACAGTGGCGGCTCCTGCCAATTCTCTCAGGGGGGGCGCAAATGTTTGCATGATTAATGATGATAGGTCACCCATTCAATGGATAAATTAACGGATAGTTAAAGATGTAAAGGAAACTGAACTACTATAGTATTAATTAAAAATAAACTGACTCTAACAATCAATCTCTTGCTCTCCTTATGTTTCTATATGCGTGTTAACACAATTCAGCAGCAAATGAAGACTGAAGCCAGGATGTGGTTTTCCAAAAAACTTTTTACTTCAATTTCAGTTTAATAATAATTGAAGTCACATAAATCACTATTTACACAACTCACTTATATTACACTGCTCATTTACAACATTACTCACTTATACTACATTGCTCCCTTAGATTAACTTACACTGCTCCCTTACATTACTCACTTACACTGCTCCCTTACATCACATTACTCACTTATATTACATTGCTTCCTTACATTACACTGCTCACTTACATCACATTACTCACTTATATTACATTGCTTCCTTACATTACACTGCTCACTTACATCACATTACTCACTTATATTACATTGCTTCCTTACATTATCTTACACTGCTCCCTTACATTACTCACTTACACTGCTCACTTACATTACACTGCTCACATTACACTGCTTACTTACACTGCTCACTTACATTACACTGCTTACTTACATTACACTGCTCACTTACATTACACTGCTTACTTACATTACACTGCTACTGACAACTGAATTTGAGTTGGCTTAGCTGTCCCCGTCTCTCTCTGTTTTTTATTTTTTCACATTTGATACAGATATTAAAGTCGTTTTTAATTTTTTTCTTCTTGTTAAAATTCAAGTTTTAAAATATTATTGGATGTCACTTCCCACCAATCCTTGCACAAGTTACGGTTACGCATGATGACGAAAGCACGTTAGTGCTAGCCCTCCCGGAACTCATTGAGATTGCATTGCAGTGATACATTTGAGTGGTTTAAAGTTTCAATGAAGCGATCATCTCAATTTTCTAAAAATAATATAATTTTTGGCCTAATAATGGAAGATGTACATACTCAAGTTGTACTGAATACTATTTTCATTTTGGGTAAATTTTATATTAATAAATGTAAGTGCCTTAAAACAAAGCCATTGTTTTTTGTTTTTCAAAAGGAATTTTGGATGTACTGTAAATCTGTAAGACTGTTAAAATGTAAATCTGGAAGAAGACTGTTTGGTTTATTGCAGAAATTTAAATTATTAGAAGACCCTATTGTGTAATTCTTTTTCTTTCTTTCTTTTCTCTCGTTTTTTTTTTTCTTTTTTCATTTGGATTGGTGCTCTGTTCTTGAGGATCTTCTTACGATCTTGTATTGCCTTATTGTATGTTTTTTTGCAATAAAAATAAATAAACAATAATAATAATAATAATAAAAAAGATTGCATTGCAGTGCCTGCAGTTCGAAAAAAAATGATCTTTGTATGGAAGTCTATGAGAGCACTCGGGGCGATTCTCAGTCTGACAGAAATCGCCCAAAAAGGGGCGGTACTACACAAAACGCGACTCGGCGCTGATTGGACTATTTAGAGGCAGAACAAACAGTGAAAGCAAGCGTAACACTGTGGTTGAATGTGAAAGAAAAAAATCCCTCCCTTTCGCGCTTTGGTGGTGCATCGCCCAATCGCCCTAATGGAGAAACCGCCCCTGTCTAACATACAATTTGCTCTATCAATTATATATATACATATACATATATATATTCTTATCAAAGTGATGTGATTGACAGAGCAATTCATTGTGTTACATTGCAAAAACTCATGGTTTTAAACAAAATGACCAACTTTACACCCAAATACCCTCACTAGTCTTTAGACACATGAACATCTAAACTTTGGAAAATGCATCAGTGCAACAATAACAAAAAAAAATCTATTCTAATCATTTAAAAAACAATGTGAACACATAATGGTTATTGAAGAGTAAATTGTGGCATACACTTATGAATGTAGTCCTGCAGTCTGAAGAGAGCGGGTGTCTTCACAGCACATACCTTCAGCAGTGGTTCCAGCACTTTAGCACAGCCTGGAGAAGAGCAGCTGAAAAGAACCCCACTTAAACTCTGGCCTTTGCAAACAATGTCTTTGACATGTGTAGCAGCGAACTTTAACTGGGCCAACACTCTAAAGCCATTTGACGTAAAAGAAAAGCCCTTGTCTCTTTTTCTTCCGCGACAGGGATGTTCCTGAGGTTCAGGTAACAATTTAATGGAAGGTTTTGTTTTTTCAGCACACACTCAGTATGGAAGCTCCAAACAGTCAGGCTCTCCAATGGGATTTAAGATTGATGACGTTTCAACAGTTATAGCTCTTCCTTTCCATTACCTTTGTGATTTTCAAATGTTGTTTAACAGCTTTTTGGGCAACTTTCACCTCTGATTTCATCATTTATCTTCATAATACTTGTAGTAAATAAAATAGCATATAGTGCATGTGTAGCAGATCTGATTCTGTACATAAGGAATATCACTCTGGAGACAGCGGGCCAGCTTCAAACAATCCCATTTATTGATCTGAAACACATGGGACACTTGATAAGAGAAACATCCGTTGCGCTAACGTCTACCGTTAAACACAATAATGACTGGAAGAAGAGAAGGGAAAATGTGCGTCTTGCCTCGCCAGCGTCCATTCGCGGTCTGAGGCTGACATATTACAACAATTTATGTTTAACATTGTGTAATACATTTAAACAAGAAATAAGGAAATTAAAATAAAATTACTGTTTATATATCGCTCTTTGTGTCAATTGTTGTCTCCATATGTATTATTAACAATGAATGTATAAAATTAATGTTCACATGAACCAACATATAAACATTCTCCCAAAACATCATACACACTCACAACGACACTATAGAAACGTGAAATCAGTGCATAATCCAAATGCTAAGCAATTAAATGCATTATAGAATAAAGGGGAAGAGAAAATAGTATTGATAATTAACAAAACATATATTCAAAATTAGTCCATAACATTATGAACCTAATTACACAAATTCTATAATTTTATACAATTTGAGTTAAAGAACTGAACATACCTGAAACACATGGGACACTTGATAAGATAAACATCCGTTGCGCTAACTTCTTCCGTTAAACACTGTGCACAAACCACGAGTTTGTTAGCTCCACGTGCGTCAGACAAAAGTCACATACAACTCACAGAAAGTAACCAATACACAAAAATACATTTGTATACTTAACTCAGAACACATTCCGTTTTATATTTAATGAATTTTGACCAAATTAATACTTTTAACCATACCAATAATGACTGGAAGAAGAGAAGGGAAAATGTACGTCTCGCCTTGCCAGCGCCCATTCGCGGTCTGAGGCTGACGTAACTCACGCACTCCCCAAAAGCATAGCATGCAACACAGATAAGTGTCCCATTCGAACAAACGCCATAATTAATAGTTCTTACTCACATTAACATTGCATGACCCATGTAGGTGTAAATGTAATATTTAGTGAAATTAAATGACTTCAACTCCATAGAAAAATAGTTTTGGGAAGTTCATCATGCAAAAAAATACAATTAATATTTCACTCTTCCCAGCAGGCTACATTCACCCCCCTGAACTTCACAAAACTAGTCAAAAACTAGTGACACATGACACTGGGGATGTGATCACACTCTGACAAAAATCACAGTATCCGTACGCAACATGTAAGTTTCCCAACTTACTGAGAGAGCGACAAAAGAAAGTTGGCCAGACTCTCAAGTGAGTTGACTCATGGGCAGTACAATTGTAAGCGAATGTCAAGGTTTGCAGCATTTGTGGCCAGGCTTGTTTGGCTCTCGGAGGCAATGCCCTGATCATATTACCCAAGGTGCGATTGAACCTCTCGACTTGGCCGTTGCCCATTGGGTGATATGCCGTGGTTCGTGACTTCTGTACGCCAGCAACTTGTAGAAGTTCCTTTATTAACCTGCTTTCAAAGTTCGCTCCTTGGTCTGAGTGGATTCTTTGTGGAAATCCATAGACACAAAATAACTTATCCCATAAGTGACGAGCGACTTGAGCTGCTGACTGGTTTTTGCACAGGAACGCATTCGCCATTTTCGTGAAGTGGTCTGTTACCACTAATACATTGACACTCTTGCCAGAAGAATCTTCAGCACACCAGAAGTCTATGCACACTAATTCTAATGGGCAGGTGGTTCGAATGCTTTCTAAAGGGGCTCTTCCCTCTGGTTCAGGGGTTTTTGCTGACTACACAATGTTGACAGCGTCTTACATACTCTCGGGTGTCACTCTCCAAACCAACCCATGAAAATCTCTGTCTAGCCAAATACAACGTTCTTCCTTGGCCTTGATGGCCTGCCTCGTCGTGGATGCCGCACAGGACTACACTGACCAGCGAATCAGGGACTATGAACTGGTAACGTGTAAACTTAGTCACCGGATCCTTGCAAATGCGGTACAGTATACCATCCAACAGCTTTAGTCTGTCCCATTGCTTCAGCAGTTTCAGAGCCTTGTAAGGTTCCTTACCTCTTTCTCTCCGAGACGGTCTCTTACCTCGGCACACATAGAAGAGAACTCTTGAAAGCACGTGGTCACCTTCTTGCTTCTCTTGAAGCTCTTTCAGTGAGTAGATGGGTAAGGGGTTCTGACCAACTGGTAATCTCTGTTGGGTTTCTTGAGCAAGCCAAAATATAACTCTATTCTGTGCTCCCACTTCCCACTGTGCATTAGCTTCCAAGACAGCAGAAACCTGATTGGAAGACAAGGAACACTGCTCCAGAGGATGTCCAACACACTGGCTGTTTGCGCTGAGCCTAAAGGAGCTCTGAACAGTCTCCTCTCTTATCTTTTCAGACTGTTCGAGCAGATGGTTGTAGGGCTCTGCCACTAGTCTCTGACTCACACGGCTGGGGACAAATGGCTGGCGGCTCAGCTTTGTTAGGATATAAGTCAACGGATTATTGTCCGTCCAGACCGTAAAAAGATGTCCCTTTAGCCAATGGCTAAATTTATCACAGACGGACCATTTCAATGCAAGAAACTCGAGACGGTGTGCGGGGTAGTTTGACTGAGCCCGTGTGAGTGCCTTGCTAGCAAAGGCGACAGGTCGTGCCGTAGACTCCCCATCAGGTATTTGTGATAATACTGCCCCTATACCATCCAAGGAGGCATCTGTAGAAAGAATAAATGGCTGGGTGAAGTCAGGGTGAGCTAACACCACAGAGTTCAGAAGGGTTGACTTGAGCTGTTCAAAAGATAGAACACATTCTCTAGTCCAGTCTGACGGGCTGAGTTTCCTGAAGACAGCGCCACCCTTTGAGTAGCCCCTTTTTCCCTTGGCTACAGCGGTTAACATGAAGAGCGGTTAGCGGTTTGGGGAACAGTTAGGGATGAACCGTTGGTAATACATGACCATACCCAAAAAGGATTTGATCTTTGATCTTCAAGGTGACACTCCATCATCCATCATGAGGTCCCTTTCGGTAACGGCGGTAATGGCTGCAATTTTGTCGGGATCAGTTGCGACTCCATTTTCATTCACAACATGGCCAAGAAATCTGACACTCCGTCTTAGGAAGTAGCATTTCTTAGGTGCCAACTTCAACCCATGAGTACTCAATCTGTCGAAGACCATCTCCAACCTTTCCAGGGCTTTTTGTTCATTGGGAGCCACCACTAGAAGATCATCCAAACAGCACAGCAGAGTAAGAAAGTTTTGGTCTCCAAATATACTCATCATTAGCCGCATGAAACTCGCTGGGCTGTTGCATAGCCCCTGTGGAAGACGATTGAACTCATATAGACCTAGAGGTGTGGTAAAGGCTGTAAGTCTCTTGTCTTCCTCACACATGGAGATGTTGTAGAAGCCAGATGTGAGGTCCATTGCGCTGAACAATGCATTCCCTCCCAGGGCAGCAAGACAATCAGCCTGATGAGGAAGAGGGTGTGCGTCCTTTATAGTGCGTGAATTCAGCCAGCGATAATCAACGCAGATACGGAGGTCGCCACTCTTCTTCCACACGAGAACCAAGGGAGAGGCCCACTCGCTGCTGGATTTACGAATGATGTCTTGTTCTTCCATCTCTGATAATACTTGCCGTAGCTTCTGGTAATGCCCTGGTGGCACACGTCGGTAAGGTAAACGGAAAGGCCGATTGTCAGACAGATGGATGCGATGCTCAAAGTCTTTCGCTCTCCCGCAGTCTAGCTTGTGCTTTGAGAATACATGTTCAAACTTCTGGACAAAACGCAATAACTGACCTTTCCATTGAGGTGACACTTCGCAAGAGTCAATGTCTAAGTCACTCAATCCCATCTTCTGCAGAATGTCCTGGAAGTCTGGGTCAGGTGATCCATCATACAGAGTTTGACTCAGTGTTTCAACAGTATTGAAGGGTCGCTCCGAATCCAATTCCAAATCTTCCAACGCCACACAAGGAGAAACATTGACAACCTTAGAGTTTTTTTTCAGGGTGATGTCATGCGGGTTAAGCATCCTTACTGGTACCCATCTATCAGCAGTCATGGAAACCACCACACGTCCCACGATGATATCTTTTTTATGGGTGGGTGACTTGGTTGGTTCAATCAACACAGCACTGCCCTCAGAAATAGGCGATGTAGGAGGTAACTTGGCCCACACCAGGTGTTCCTGCTTAGGCAGCAAAGTGACTGCTTGAACCAGTTTGGCAGTTCCTATGATGTCAGGCATCTCATTGCCTCTCCATCTGTTAAGTCCAGAAAGTACATTAAGGAACTGTTCAACATCATAATCTTGTGTTGATTCAGGCCTATTTACAACACGCCAGTATGTGGGGTTAGTTAGTGGTCTACTGTTAGTAGAGATGAAAATATACAAAAAGTTACTTTGTACATAACTATTTCCTATCAGTTCACAGGCACTTATAAGAATTCTTCCGCTAAAACAATCTGTGGTAAATTAGTCTGGTCTGGTTCTGTTCATCATTGATTGGGTGAGAGCAGTTCAATATTACTGGCTGTGGAAATCAGCAGGCGTGGCTCATTATACTACAAGGAAAACGCCGTAAATAACGCCGCTTTTGTGCAATCAGAACGGCGTTTTTTTACTGCTGCGTTCAAGTCCTCCTGGGACGTTTGTACTTATGAATTGACAAGTGGTAATTACGACGTCAGGTGCGTTCAAGTCAGTTTAGTCGGCACAAGATGGTGGTATACCTTCTCTTAATAAATTACAAGAAAATACAACAGGGTCTGTTAACTCTGCTTATAGAAAATGAAGAGCAAAGAATTCTAGAACACACTCTCTAGTCCAGTCTGACGGGCTGAGTTTCCTGAAGACAGCGCCACCCTTTGAGTAGCCCCTTTTTCCCTTGACTGCAGCGGTTAACGTAAAGAGTGGTTTGGCGATACTGGAACAGTTAGGGATGAACCGTTGGTAATACATAACCATACCCAAAAAAGATTTGATCTTCCTTGGTGAAGGTGACACTCCATCATATAATCATGAGGTCCTTTTCGGTAACGGCGGTAATGGCTGCAATTTTGTCGGGATCAGTTGCGACTCCATTTTCATTCACAACATGGCCAAGAAATCTGACACTCCGTCTTAGGAAGTAGCATTTCTTAGGTGCCAACTTCAACCCATGAGTACTCAATCTGTCGAAGACCATCTCCAACCTTTCCAGGGCTTTTTGTTCATTGGGAGCCACCACTAGAAGATCATCCAAACAGCACAGCAGAGTAAGAAAGTTTTGGTCTCCAAATATACTCATCATTAGCCGCATGAAACTCGCTGGGCTGTTGCATAGCCCCTGTGGAAGACGATTGAACTCATAGAGACCTAGAGGTGTGGTAAAGGCTGTAAGTCTCTTGTCTTCCTCACACATGGAGATGTTGTAGAAGCCAGATGTGAGGTCCATTGCTCTGAACAATGCATTCCCTCCCAGGGCAGCAAGACAATCAGCCTGATGAGGAAGAGGGTGTGCGTCCTTTATAGTGCGTGAATTCAGCCAGCGATAATCAACGCAGATACGGAGGTCGCCACTCTTCTTCCACACGAGAACCAAGGGAGAGGCCCACTCGCTGCTGGATTTACGAATGATGTCTTGTTCTTCCATCTCTGATAATACTTGCCGTAGCTTCTGGTAATGCCCTGGTGGCACACGTCGGTAAGGTAAACGGAAAGGCCGGTTGTCAGACAGATGGATGCGATGCTCAAAGTCTTTTGCTCTCCCGCAGTCTAGCTTGTGTTTTGAGAATACATGTTCAAACTTCTGGACAAAACGCAATAACTGACCTTTCCATTGAGGTGACACTTCGCAAGAGTCAATGTCTAAGTCACTCAATCCCATCTTCTGCAGAATGTCCTGGAAGTCTGGGTCAGGTGATCCACCATACAGTGTTTGA